TTATTCAGTCCGCAGTTTTCATCAGTCTAAAGCATAAAACCACTCTCCACATCCACACAGGACAGAATTACTATTTTGAATTTCTCTGATTGAACACTGTTGTGAACGTATGTATTGAACAAGTGTTGGATTTCATTTAAACCCCATGTTACGCTCGCAGCGGCCATAACCGAACACAGCGTGTTGCTATGGAGCTCGAACTTCAGTGAAACGCAAGCAGAACGGGGAGAGTTTGTGAAAAGAAGCGTACGCCTGTAGCTCAATAAGGATGCTGCATGTCTCACTGGAAACATATTCATTTCTTTTTGTTCCAGATGTTTGGCTGTGCTGATGAAATGTGCAGGTGGGATTAGAGGGACTGTTGTTTAAGCCGTGTTTTGTTCACACTGAGTCAAAGCGTGATCCTGCGGGGAGCATACACGAACACAGGAATTAAACTACAAAGAGGTTATTTGATATTTCTGAGCGTTGACAATGTATTTAAAAAGGATTAAGTTGTAAACAGATTGTGGTCATGACTCGTGACACCTGCGTACATGAATGCAGGTACCATTTATATGCGGCGAGCAATTTGTCTTCATAAAAAGAAAACATACCAGAAATACTTTGAAGTTTTGCATTGGTTTGCTGTGAAGTTAAATGAATGTCACTTGTCCAGGACTCCGTTAAAAAGAGATTCTTAATCTGAATGGAACTTGTCTGGTTAAATAAATAAAATAAAATACATATTTTTCCAGTTTGGATTTGTAAACAGTAATGGCCGCATATAACAATTTTAACATTTACTAATGATTATATTCTTATTGCATGTTTATATATTCATTTACAAAGTAGCTGGGACTAGGTTGCAATTGAGTAAAGCTGTCACAAGTAACTTTAGTAACCAATGAGTAGGGTTTTGAACACTTTCTGAACCAAAACATGCTAAGAACTCTTATGACTCAGGCAGAGATATAAAAATATTATTACCGTTTACAACCATGGAGAGGTAATGTTTGTGAAGATTGCAATCAAAGTTATTTATATAGTTACTTTAGAACAACGAAGGTCCCAGAATTTGGTCACAATATTCTGGGACCAAATTTTAACTTCCTGTTTCCGCTGAAATCTTCAAGACTTTTTTCTTTTGAACATAGTTTTTCATTTCTTAATTTTGAAACCAATAATATTCATCATGAACTATAATGACTCAGTTATAAAAATCAGCTAGCAGTGTATACTGTAATTGCTTGTAAAACTGTCAGAACGCCATCATAATGACCATATTTACGACTACCAATAGAACTATAAACGCAGCTTCCTCAAAGTTCAACTCTAAATCCTAAACCGCAGTGACCCTTGTTTATTAATATACATCAAACAGCCCTATCGTCCCATTCATTTCACAAGCCCCACTAGGCTTCCTTGATGCATTTCAACAGATGCAGGGTGGCCAATGTGATGCTGCTACACTCAGATAACACAAGCGAGCTCCTCTGGGACTTCCAAGACACTCATAGCCTGACAAGATGTGGTTTTGTGATAAAAGAAACAAGTGTAAACATCCAGTTTAATTCAGCCTGTACATTGCTATTGCTAGTCTATGTCTCTTATCGGTCGGGGCTGGAGGCTTGACGGTCTTGTGAAGCCATCTCTAAGTTGCTAATTCAATTGGAGAGCACAGTCTTTTCATGTTAGATGCATGAACGTGTATGTCTGTGTGTGTGCCTTTAAGACAAATGTGATCTTGCTTTGTAGCGCAGAGGTGAAGCGGTGTTATGAATAAAGTAGTAAGAAGGTTGGCTTCCTTTGTTGTTTGTCCATTTCGTTCTTGTGACACAGACTTCATTATTTTCTTGCATGTTGTGAGATGTTGTTGAGTATATATGGTATTGTAGAAGAAATACCTAATGCAATATGCTTCCTGTTTCCAAGCAGCTTCCTCAAGACAGAAGGAAGCTTCAGATGCTGTGTTTACTTTGAGAAAAGTCGTAGCATGATATTTATGTCCATGCTCTGCTTTCCACTGACACATCAACCGGTTAAACAACAGAAACAGTAGCAGATATAGGTGGGAAATATGTCAATAGAGCTAAATGTGATCAAATGTGAGCAAAATGTGAATGTTGAGTGTAAGGTTTTAAATGGAAAGCTAACTGGGGTACCTAACTTTCTAACCTCAAAACATGAATGATTTTATATTATGAAGTACCACACTCACACTGGTTTCCAGGTGTATGCACTTTTAATATCAGATTTTTCAGACGGTAAAGTTAAAAAAGGGCTATTTTTCAGCCCAAAGCGTCTCCAGATGAATTGCCACTTTCTTAGTATGCATGTGATAAAGGCAGTATGTTGAAATCTGATTTACTTTTACAAGGACAATCAACATGCATTATTCATACACCTCAACCTTAAATGTCCGGTTAACAATACAAAACATGTTTAAGCATTCAAATGTATGTAACTTATTCCGGTGCTTTGGCAGTTAGTTTAAGATATTTTCAGTACTTGTCACGTTCTGTACACTCTATTTGGTTAAGTAAAGTTTCAGAGATAATGATTTGCACGTGTTGAGTTGTTACTACCGAGAAATGACACCACCACAGGACAACCATCATAGTAGTCTGAAAATGAAAGTCAAGCAATGTCCTCATGCTTGCTTGCCATCGCTTCATATTTACTTGTAACTCGGTACGACCTTGTTTTCCATCTTTAAATTCAAAGCGGCATCGACAAGCGAATATATTAATAACAATGTAAGGTGACTTTGCAGATCTCCGTAGCCTGCAGATGTCCAAGTATTAGTAAGCTACTTCTGGGGTAAAAATCAAAGAATATATATTAATCTTAGAAACAAAATGTCCTCAGAATGTTCAATTAACCTTTTGCAATGCATGTAGCCTTTTAGTACAGTAGTTGCTTCCACCATCTTGTCTTAATTGTGGTAACATTAACTTTTGTTCTTCACTTTGAATGAGTTTGATACCGCAATGTCACATTTATATATTGCTGTGAAGAATGAAGTAGGAGCACTGGTGGACTAAAATTTATTGTACATAATTTACTTTATTACTTTATTTTAAAGCAATTGACCTACATAGTTTTTCCCTTTCCTTTTGGACAAGCCACAGGAAAACAATTGATGTCACTGGCTTTCCTTTAGCTGCACACTTGCATCGCATAGCAAAGGGAAATGGGAAATGTCTTTAAAACAAATGCTTTACATTTTTCACTGTCTTTGGACAAATGAAGACATCTGGTAATTTATGAAAAATAAAATCATGCTTAACAGTCTTACTATTGCAGGAGTTTTTTGTTTTTGGGTACAATTAATCTATACAACAAATGGCTGAAGGGTTGCTATTGATTTTATTGAAAAGCAGTTTGATTATTTCATAAGTTTGATATACATAGCTTCATTCCTTACACTGTTTCGGCTGGAGAGTTAAGGAACAAGGCCTTAATGAACTCGGGAGGCTATACAGATAGATTATTGGAGGCAGTTTTATCCAGTGCTGCTTCATGCAATTACCCATTATGATAAAAGCTGTTGACAAAGCATTTGACAAAGCATGCCATCTTGTTATGTGCATTAGTGTGACATCAATGCATTAGATTCAGACCCAAAACTAGGTACTTAAATATATATATATAATATAAAAATGCTTCATTAACTCCTCTTAGTTTTTTGGTCAAACTTTTTAAAGAAGTCAACTTGCACAGTTTTTCCAATGTGGTTTTACTGCAAATGGCAAATAAATGAATCTGAATCTTTGAATCTTGACTGTATGTAGATCCATCAGCCATCAGCGAGATGAGAGGGCATAGCATATCACACATGGCACTGAGTTGCAAAATCGCTCAATAATTCAAAACCAGTGAAAAACCTACAAAATGTGAGAGTCCGTTTGATTGCACTATTGAATACACTACGGTTACCTCGGGGGCTGCGCTACTGCCTCATTGTTGTGAAGCTGTCTAATTAAAAGGACCATTTTGGGGTTTCAAACAAGATGTGTTCAGTATTAATGAATGGGCTCACGGTGGCTGTAAACAAGGATTCATGGATCTTTCAGAGAAGCCCATTGCGCAGTGTCATTAGCTGCGTCTGCATTACCCAACGCTGTAAAAGAACAAGGACGCAGCAGGCGCTGGAGACACTGGGCAAGGAACTGAGATTACACAGGATTTTAGGAAAGGGTGAAACATCATGGTTCTAGATAAGGCATATTTGAGTAAATAATTGGTTAGGGTTAGGGTTGTAATTAGTGGAACGCCTTAAAAACTCATAACATTTCTATTATGTCTTCTTTTGTTCTGATTATACAATATGCAATTATCCCCCCACTGAAAATAATGTCATTTTCCCATCTTTATTTCCAGCCGTTTCTGTGGGGATGTGCCAAAAATCGAATTTCTAAACGTCGCAAAGTCGGGCAGGGTATCTTTCAGAGCCTCCCGATACATTACGTTAATTGATTTGCATGACACAATATGATACATATCTGAATACAGGGGACAATATATTTCTGAACGATAAGATACAATTCAGTCAAAAAAAATCTTTTACAAGAGACAAGAACCATTGATTTTCAAAACCAGGAACTTCTGTGCCACGAACAGTCTTCCACTTTTTGGCTTAAATACTTACGTATTGTATAACTTACTATGGTTAGTGTTCCCATGGAGGTGATGCAATTTTACAATTGAGATCAATCAATATATGGAGAAATAATGTAATTCTATATTCTTTCAGATTCAGTCCTACACTACTGATATAATTTTTGAGGAAATGGGGCATCGGTGAATTTGAAAGATATTGTTATACTTGATATTGATACCCATGTTTTTCATGGTACAATATATGTATCTGTTCACACACATCTTTGAGGCACCGGTGATAGCGTCGCAGCTCGTATCAACATTACAAAACTGCAGTTATGTAAAAAAAAAAAATCATCCACTGACTGAACATTCATTGATTTCTTATTCTAACGGTTGCCCCTGTCATCCCCCAGTTCCTCTGCCTGAAGAACATCCGGACTTTCCTGGCCGCCTGCAACGACACTTTCGGGATGAAAAAGAGCGAGCTGTTTGAGGCGTTTGACCTGTTTGATGTCAGGGATTTTGCAAAGGTAACAACCGGTTTTACACTGTTATCTGTTGATGTGGAAGATGTACTCTCTGTACTGTATTGCTCTCCAGATGTTCTAATTTTAGATGATCAGTAAACTCAATGTTTTAATTCATTCAGGTGATGCAAGGCAAACAAGTATTTTTTGACAGTAATAGACTCTGGTGAAATGATGTGGCAAAGAGGAAAGGCTGAGGAAGTTCATGATGTGCTGCTGATGCGGTTCAGATTAGGTAAAGCAGCAGGGAATTATTTATCAATACTTTTTGATAAATAATATCTCTGCAATGACAGAGAAGAGATAGATACATTTTGGATTTTGCCGACAAGGGGTGTCACGTATGAAAATTTTACCTCATGGTTATTGTGACCAAAATTATTACGGTTTTTGGTATTTTGCGTTTTTTTTTTTAAAGTGACTATGTTCAGAAAGCATTGAAAAAAAAGTGAACAAATGTAGGTCACATTTGGTTGATAACATCCACTTAATTGTAATGTCAACTGAAATGGTTAAAACAAACAAAGTGCATAGTACTGTTGTGCCCTCAACTAGCGCTCAATAATGCAGTATCTTCATTTCACCGTCTAATCTTTTACTGTTTACCTGTTTAGCTTAGCATTATAGCTGCTAATAGGCAGCTAGATGCATTTTTAATTTGCTGGCAGTGGGCGCCTCGGCTGCACTTTTACATTAACATTATTGACTGCAAGATAATCAGACAAATCGTCATGTCCTTTCGCATAATCTATTTCAGCTAAAATGCTAATGTTATCTCACCTAGCATTGGCTATGGAGTTGCGGGTGATGCTCATGCAGATGAGCCATGAGGTTTGAAGTATTGCTGCCTTCAGCTGATTTTTTTCCCCTGCACTTTCTGGAGACAGAATAATCCAAAATGTGCCTTGTCCTGGGATCGTATACAGAGTGAGCCCTTCAGCGGACTCAGAGGCGCTGGAAAGGCTCAAGGTGCCGTACATCACAGCGTGGTAATCCACAAAGAGAATATTTTAAAAAGAAAATCAAGACAGTAAATGTTATAGTCACATTTTTACCAGGGTTTACCACTATATTGGTAATCATGACATTTTTGTTGTTGCTAAATCATGCTCTGTGTAGGAATTGAGACCTGTCACTCTTGCTGCTAAATAGTGAACCATTTCCAAATGTCTGCTTTCTTCATACACATCGTATTTGTTTTGATTGATCAGGTTTTGAAAAGTTAAACAATGAAAACAGGCGGTTAAACACACCTAAGAAATAATAGCTGCCATTCAGATGAAATTAAACTTAATTGAATTGTTTATTTAAACCCTGCACAACACATCTTTACAAATCTTCACAGCCAGATGTTATAAGCTTATTTTCCGGCGTACTAAATTGCAGAACATGATTAAATGATTAGTTTAGACTTTTCAGTCAGTCCTACCTCTTGTAAACACCACCTTGGATTCAGAGCCAGTTTAAAGTCCCCTATTTGGCCTTCATCTCTGTCAGAGCTGTAGTAAGCAGCTTGAGGAAGGATTTTATTAACTTCCTCTCATTAAACTAAAACGCCATGTTTCAGTGGCTTTACGCAGAGTTTGAAGTCTGGCCTGGGGTCCACTTCTTTGATAGGCCTCATCAGTGTCTGCTGCCCCAGTCAAGTGCCTCCAAGGTTTAATTAGAAAACCCAGCCCCGCGCAAGACGGCCAATGGACAAGATGGATCTTGGAGCGTGGACATGATATGATGCAGCCACAAGACGACAAGGTCAAGCCCTCTGTGAGATATGAGCTCATATAGAGGATTTATGAATGCTTGAGTTGGATTCTTGAGTGTACTTGATCATGATAAATCAACTCTTTATACTATGTAGCCAAATCAATCAATCAAAATGTTGATTTCAAAACCTGTACAGCACAATCTTACAGAACAGAATAGCAGACAGTTTTAAAAAGGGCTGGATGAAGCAGGCACATACAGTATAAACCTCCAGACCAAGCATCCATGATGGACGTACCATAGTACTGTTGTTAAATGACAGATTGCACACAGTATCACCCTTATCAGCTGTCATCATAGCAACACCCTGCATTGAAGACAAACTGTTTACTTTATTGTACCACAGGATGTTCCATTGTGTTGGTCAATTTGCTGGATTTTTGCTAAGCATTTTGAAATTTTGGGCTGATACGATACCAATGTTTGACTTAACAATTTGGTCAATGATTGGCCAATGTTACATGCCGCGGTTTTGCGCTTTCTTGGCGGCTTCAGTTTTCTCTTCATTTTAGCTTTCATGGAATCGCTGTACACTGCCTCATGCTAGTTTCTCAAATGTCCAGTGAGATTTGTTGTGTTAAATTAATTTCTAGTAGTTCCTTCTGAAATCTCACTGGAAACACGTATTACAAACTGCAAAACGCAGATCTTACCATCTTCTTTGTTTCTATACTGAGGAAAATCCGCGGACGGATTGCACTAAAGTGTAGATTTATAGGAAATCGAAGGATAGAGCACCAGCCCCTCACTGATCCTGCTGCAGGTGGAGATTTTCATGTCAAGTCATCATTAAATGGCCCTAAAATGTGTAAAGGTATTCCATTCTCTTTTGGTAAACTTCTTTAACTGAAAACTGTAGTTCAGCCAAGATATTAGATTTTCAAATTTAGATTTACAGCCCCTATATCTTGTTAGTGTTTTCATTTCGATGTCCCTTCCTCCACCATTTCACCAATCAGAAAGGGTTGCTAGAACTCACCGCATCCAGCGAATATCACTGGTAAGTAATATGTGGCCGCAGAATTAAAAGAAACTCTTGTTATTATTCTCAAATCATTCATAACAAAAGAAGGAAAAAAAAACAAGGATTTCTATTGGGGCCTTTGTGAAAAAGGTGTTGTTTATAGATTTGCTGTTGACAAAACTCTTGTCTATTCAGTTATTATGGTTCCAGCTGGATTTGTCTGCATATCTGGCAACCTGTGTCAGGGAGAGTGCAGTACCACTCTCGGCCAGATTTGTATATATTGCTCCATTAACAAGAAAAATCTCAGGATGTCAAGGGACACTAAAAACCCCACAAAATGAGGTCTTTGTGAAAGCTGTAGGTTCTTTGTCAGTTGTGGTCGAGTTGTTTTTTGTTCATTAAGTTCTATGTGACATTTTTCTGGGTAGCCCACGTGAATTCAGTCTGCAGCAGCGTGGGTGCCCCCTTTGCCCATCGGTGTGACAGCTATAAGCTAGTAATACCCTATCCAGATATTATCATAGATCCATGCCATGTGGTCACACTATGTATTTCTGCTTTTCTTCTTGATTTTATGTCGAGGAATAGTTTTGTTTTGGAAATCAGGAATTCTTCCAGCGATTGTCTGTGAACACATCTCAAATTCCATATACAGCTGCCCCCAAGCGAAGCAGTCAGAGCCATGAACATAATCCAATGATCCAAACGCATGTCTCTCCAGAACCTCTGTTTTAACATGAGAGTCAGCATCATCACCCCCCGCTCCTCCTCTCCAATGTGTTTTTCAGGCGCGCTCAGGCTCGGTCCCCTGCTTCGGTGAACCCGCTGGTTCCGTCCACCGACTCCTTCTCCGAGGCGCCACTTCTTCGTTTCGCGCCCGACCACTCGGATTATTGAGATATCATCGTGAGACACGATCCCGCTTCTTTAACACGCGGTCACTCGCTGATTCCCGAGCTACTGTACCAGACCTGCTCATGCCGTCTCCTCCTACTTCTTCAGTCCCTGCCTGATACCGGTTGTCCAATTAGTCGTCAATGTGAATTAACACAGAAACTTTCAGCATCAGAAGTCACGAGAAACATTTTATGGATCTGTTCCACCTCCTTCAATCCTCCGACTATCTGTTTTTTTATTGTCTGGTCCAATCCAGCCTGTAAACATGAAGGTACTGCCTCCCTACAGTCGGGTTGTTGGCGTCGCATGTGTGGCTTCAGGCCTACATGCCAGCTCTTTTAACTTGTCTTTGTTGAATACTTTGCCCTTTTCCTGGAAACGTTACTAAGCCTATCGTCCAACAGGATTTACACCCCAACAGATACGGTAGCAGCCTGTTGATGGATTATACATAGGTTTGTTTTAGGTTGTTTCGCGTTCCCCGAGGGGGCGTGACTGTATACATCTGAGCCCCCTCGGACCCACCGCAATCCCCCGCCTCCTGCTCACCAGCACCGGTGAGCTACTACGTGCAAACACTGCTCCCGGTCCGTCTGGCAGTGCATTACCAGTCCAAACACTGAACTGTGCTGACTCCCTTCTGACTCTGGAGCTAAAGAACAACAACAAGGGTTTTCACATTAGGCCAATTGAGACTGTGTGTGTTCCTCCGCACCAGCTCAAAATGTTTTTAAATTCTAAATAACGAAATCAAAAACAGACAGCAGTTAGACAGGTCAACTCCTTCCAAATCTTAATATTCTGTTCCCTGTCGAAATCATTCAACCACATTAATCGACTCTGACGTTATTTTTAAACTTCTATCCTTAATGTCAGATCTCTATGTCACAAATCATTTTTAATTAATAATTTTATCACTTCTATGATCTGATTTTATGCTTATGGCTGAAACATGGCTCGACCCAAAATACATGGAAATTGATGCAGTCGTAAATAGAAAGCAAACACCACCCAATTGTAAATTCGAATCAGAAATAGAGAAAAACAAAAGGGGGGGAGGCATAGGGCTTAGCAGTTTTTAGAGAGCACTTTGTCTCCCATAAGAATGCCATTGGAAATTTTTCCATCGTTTTGAGTATATTTCTTTTAAAAATGGAACAAAAGGCAATCTTCTACTCTGTTCATTGTCCTGTACAGCCACCACTTCCATTTTGCGATTTTAATTGACCATGTTTAAACTGAACTACTTTCATTCGTGTGCACAGATTTTTGAAAGTTTAGTTATTACAGGTGATTTGGTAATGTACATGTTGATAATGTTGATGACAGAAATGCAAAGGAGCTAGGCTTCTGTATTTGAGACCTTTGGTTTCATTCAGCACGTGAGGTGCCCCAACCCCAGCAGGGGGCACACTCTTGACCTGCGAATTACAAAGGGGGTTAATGTATCAAAT